GGATTTGAACTGCCAGCCTTCTGGTTAGCAGTCAAGTGCCTTAGGCACTATGCTACCAGAGTTCCTTTTGATTATATAGTGTGGTGTAATTGTGTGCAAGTTGGTGGTTAGAGGCTGGAACTCCTGGAAAGTGATTTTATACAGTAATATTCAGGAAAACATGCATATGTGTACAAATATTTCATATATGTAATGAGATTTGCAATTACAATTACTTTGCTAAAAAGTTTAGTCCCTGAGACTTCAATTGGTAGATTTGAAAGCAAGGGCCAGATGTTAGGAGCAAAGCAAATGGCACTATTGTGGCATTTGCAAATATACTTTTTGCACAAAAGAAGCAGTGTGTGGCTTGTCCCTTTGTTGATTTTATCCACTTGGGCTGCCCCCCATGCTCTTTTTGCCGCTTTCCCAAGATTCCCACAGAGCTGGGCTCTAAGATGGCATAGAAGAGCCCAGTTCTGCCTGGAGCTGACTCAGGCACACAGGGTTGGAGAGGTGCAATGAGCACGTGATGAGGTTCCTCCTGAATCCACAGGCTATGGCACCAGCCCCTCCTGGGCAGTCCCAGGCCCAGATGAAGGTGCCATGTGCTCTGCAAGCTAATGGAAGGTCTTCCCTTTGCTGGCTGGTGGGAGGGGGTGCTGGGAGGCTTGGGGCTGAAGCTGCTCCACCTCATCCTTCCTGAGCTGGAAAGCTTTTTTTCTAAAAATCAGAAGTTGCCACATCAGCTGCAAATTGGTCCTCCTGCAGGAGTGTGAAGTCACCTCCTTGCTGGAGGCACTAATGAAGCCCATCTCGAGAACAAGTGTCATTTTTTCCCTCCTTCTAAGTTGACAATGACCATTCTTTAAACCACTGTGCCTTCTCACCTTTTAGATCATTAGTTTGAATTTCTCCCAGGCTGATCTAGCCCAGACCCCTCTAGAAATCAACCTGAAGGGGCAGGGAAGGAGAAGGAAAAGCACATTGGACTTTAAGTGGAGCCCTTTCTTGAGAAGAGAGGTGGGGTGCTGAAGGATTATCTTCATTAAATAAGTAATGGTATAATTGGTATAATTATAAACAAGTAATGGTAAAATGGTATAATTCTGGGAACCCTCTAAAATGTGTTGTGCTGCATCTGGGCAAAGACCCTGCCTTCTGGGCACCCAGAGAATCATGTGTGTTCCAAGTTCCTCTCAGTGGAATGGTTGGTTCATTTCAAAACATTTGAGAGGGTCTTTTCCAACAAAGGTACACTGCAATGAAACACTGTTGTCCCAAAGCACAAGAGCCCAGACCATGGCCAGGGCACAGGACATTTGTCCTCAAACCATATGTCATCCCTCCCTGACTCATAGTGAAACTGTTTTTAATTCTGAGAAACAGTTCTCAGCTGAGCCCCTGCAGAACCAGGGTGATCTGTCTTCTCTAAAAAAAAAAAAAAAAAAAAAAAAACAAAGAGGAGTGCAATCTTGCACATTGAATGGGGATTCTGAGTCACATTCCTATTATTTAAGTTTCCTGGGCGGGAGGCAAGGGAGAGTGGAGAAGTCGGCAGCTGGACCAGTATGCTGTATGTAAGATGAGGATGCCACTCCACTGCCTCCCCAGGGAGGCTTCATGAGCTCATGTCTGTGGAGCACATTAGGATCCTTTAGTGAAAAAAGAGAAAAACAGTCAAGTGCAAGAATATCTCATTAGGCCAGTGACTGGTGGTGGGCAGGCAGTGCAGGGGAAGCTGTCTGCTTCCTGCAGATGCTTTCCATCTGCCACTCCAAGACTGGGTGGCAGAAGCCCATCTCATAAACTGGCCCTGATAAAAGTGTCAGGCATGGCCCAAAGAGAGGCCCATTGAAAAGGGGGCAGGCAAAGTAGAGATTGTAGCATTTGCTTGGCAAAATGAGCACCCATCGATTGCCTGCTAATGGTCAAATGAAACCTACCTAGGACTCCCAACCCTGGTCAGGACTGGCTTGCCTGCCTTTTCCAGGCCTCCTTGTGCCCAGAGTTGTCGTTTGCAATTGCTGTAGAGTTGATTCTGACTCATGGTGACCCCATGTGCACAGAGTGGAACTGCTCCATAGAGTTGTCAAGGCTGCAACCTTTTGGAAGCAGATCACCTGGACTTTATCCTGAGGCAACTCTGGGTGGGTTTCAACCACCAACCTTTTGGCTTGTAGTTGAGCACTTAACTATTTGTGCCACTGAGGGACTCCTGAGCCCAGGGATTATTGCTGCTTATACCAAAGAGGCTGACACAAAGTACAATATGCTTCATTCCCTTCCCCACCCACCTCCTACTGAAGGTGCTCATTATATGACTCCAGGTGAGTGGCAGGAGGAAGCAGGCAAAGCAGGGGACCTGGTTAGCTGTCCTTTGGACATTCAGCTTCTGAAAGATGGGTGCACTGTGTGCTTAGCCTTGCTCTGTGTCTATGCTGCTCTTCCCTACCTCACCAGGCAGCTGGCAAAAGCATCACTAAGAGAGCAAGTCACACCCTCCTAGCCTGATATCTCCTATGTGTCTCTGGGTACAAAAGTGCCTGAACCAATGTGCTCTGAAAATCCTAAATCCTAAAGTTGATGTTTAAAATTTATGCCGTTGGAAGAGTCTGTTTTGTTTTTCCTTTATAGAGCTTGTCTAAGAAGCAGTGATAATAAACATCTAATCTTCTATGAATTTTGGGCTTTTATTTCTATCTCATAGATCATCTTCCTTTTCATTTATTAGTTCATTGATTTGACAAGCCTTCTGATTAGAAGCTGCTCTGAGTCAGGCAACATGCAAGGTGCTGGGGCTGCCATGTGAGCACAGCATATTGTGTCCAAGGAAGGATAGGCATGCAGACCTCCCAAAATAGGCCAGTAAGGAAATGGCTGGGATATAGATGACAGTGTGGGGGTGGGGAGAGGAATGAAACACCAGTGGAGGGGCACGGAAGGCCTGGAGGGAACAGCGTCTGCACTGTCGTCTGAAGACTGAGCCCTTGAATTAGGTTCCAGTAGTGCTTCTCCAACTATAAAGTACATGTGAACCACATAGGGATCTTGTTCAAATGTTGAGTCTGATTCATGGGTCTGGGGTGAGCGTCAAGATTGTCCTTTTCTAATACACTCCCAGGTAACACTGACATGTTGTTCCTTGGATACTCTGAGTAACAAGAGCTTCAATGGCTTACTTCATTTTTGTTTCACTGTAGCATCTGGCAGTGCATGCATGATCTCTCAGCCCCATAAGTCTTCCTCATAATTCTAGTTCCCCTGGCTTCCCCTGGTGAGGTTTGCCTCTGGATACTGCTGATGCTCTTGAAACTCTCTTCTCTTTAAAGGCAGAAAACACTCCACCCCTGGAGCCACAGCATGGTATTTTGTGTTCTATGTCTGATGCCCCCTAAAGTTGGGCAACACAATAGCCCTAGGTCCCTTAGGAAAACAAGTGTTTACTTCAGCATCTACGTACCTAATAGGTAGCCAAGCTTTTCCATTGGAGCTACCAGAAGTGTCTTACTTTTTAGAGGAAGGAAAAGGAAAGGAAAAAAAAAAAATGTGCAAAAAGCACATGGCTAACGGCTAAAAACTATTTCTTAGGAACAATAACCAAAAGATGGTCAAGCTCATAGAAAGAACCATGGCTAGAGAACAACTTCACCACAAATAATTTTCTAGGGGCAAACAATTCTTATGCTTGGAGTTTTCTCTTTTACTTTGTGTCCTCTCACACATAATGCTGGGAAATGGCAGGTTAAAAAGAAGTAATAAAATAGATGAAAAATCTCCACTACTCAGGTATCTGACATAGAAGCTAAGGAGCAACCAAAATAACTCCGATTAGTTAGAGACCAAGTTATAATTCAGTTATAATTCAGTTTCACAGTTGTATCTCTTCCAAAAGCAATAAAGTCACTCCTTGGAAGTGCAGAAGCAATATGGCACTGGGGCACTTCCCAGATCTCTATACAAACAGGAAGTCCACACCTCTAGAGCAGAAATTCTCAATCCATGTGATCAGCATTGACTTTTTTCTAACAAACATTTAGAAATAACTAACCT